GAGTGTATTCAAAAATTAAAAAACTTTTCAAAGCTTCATGGCAATCGTACTATGCCACAAACCTTCGCTGGAGTATATTAAACAACTTCCCAAAGTTTCACGCCAACCGGATAAACGGTGTGGTAATGCATGAATGACACACACACACACAGACAGACAACCATACATTCATTTTTATATATATAGATTTTAATCGCCGTTGAATAAGGAATGTTTCTTTCACACGAAATGTATAAAATTACAGTACTGTATTAGACTTACGGTAGCTAATTTACATACTGTACAGACGATAGTTCGCCTAAACTCTCCGTAGCGTAGCGCTAGACGGCGGAGAGCATATATACATAATTATAATAAAGTTACAATAAATTAAGTTAGTATATAATTATACATATAGTACCTAATCTATATATAATTATATGTTCAGACGAAACTAAACTCAATTTACCCGTCTAAATGTCCGTAGCATGGCGCTACAGATGGCGGGAAAGTAGTTTGGCTGACGTTTTACGTAATTATAGGAGTTATTTTACCGTTGTGTACGGATACAGCCACAATTTTTTCGCCGTCTTATAGAAATCGTAATTATACGAACCAGTCTTATAGAGGAATCTACTGTATATAAAAAAAAACTTCGATAATAAGAGTCAAAACAATTTCGTCAGAGTAATTTAATTTCTTATCTCCTGGCTCTTGCATATATAAGATGTTTCTTACTGTTTATTATTTAGGTTCATATACAATTACTTTTTTAAGATTTTCTATAAGCCTACACATTTAAATTTCGTTAATCTATGTGTGATAAGTGGATATCGCACTCATCAGGATAAAAAAAATAAGACATCAAATTGAGCAACAGGATATCAAAAACAAACAATCTATTTTCAACAATCTATTTTTAACAATTAAATGCAACAATCTATTTTTAACAATTAAATGCAACAATCTATTCTCATCAATACAGAACTAACAATCTATTTTTAACAATTAAATGCAACAATCTATTTTTAACAATTAAATGCAACAATCTATTCTTATCAATATAGAACTTACAATATATTTCTAACAATAAAAACGAACAGTCTGTTTCTAACAATCGAAATTTAACAATCTATTTTTAATATTCAATAAGTAACAATCTGATCAAAACAATTAAGAAGAAACAATCAACATTCAACAATCGACATATTGTTGAGAACATATCAACAATATGTTCTTAACAATAAAAAACAAACGATTTATATTTAACAAACAAAAACAAATAATTTATTCACAACAATCAACAATTGACAATTTATACTGAACAATGAAAAATGATCAAACTTCCAAAATGCTTTAATATCTAAATTATCCGGCTTTACTCAAGGGAAGCTTCTAGAAAATGGGTGCAGCTGTGACCTCCCCATCATCATAAATCCTCTTCTCTGAAAAAACAAACACTGATTGTTGGTCGTGGATTCGCGTTCGACCGACAGTCACTGTTCGTGCGACCAGTTTTTATCCACGTACCAAGCACCTGCTATTTTGGTGCTCATAGGTAACTGCTTATATTAAAAAAATAAATAAATAAATTATAATTTACAACATTTATTCATGCAGTTAATTCTTTCAAACTATATGTCAACTAAACGGGAATAAAACTTGAAAATTAATTTAAATTGCAGAAATACAGTAGGGTGTCGTTCATCCGAATAAATTGGGGACTGGGGTGATGCACATAACTTATTTTTCGGATAACCGATTATGCACGGTAAAATATATTAACCTATCCCGTGTTGTAATTTTTCTCCGTTGCGTGTCGCTTTGCATTGAATTTTTACGTCGTTGTTAAGCCTAACGAACACTATTCTGTCCTTAATAATTATTTTTTTATTTTGTACAAACAAAATAAATATATTGAAAAATATAAAACCAAAAAAATTATACTTCATGAGTTAATTTAGTGTCAAAAACGTAAAATATTTAAGTAGCCCAAGACATAGCCAAAGATTGCAGCGCCACAGCACTCGCAAAAATTTAAATTTGACGACTGAAATTCTTTCGGATAACCGATGTTTCAGATAACCGACCTTCGAATAAACGACTCTCTACTGTAATAATAAAAAGAAATTATGAGCAATAAATGTGTAATTGTTCAAAAAGATTTAACTG